ATCACTATCACACAGGGGCCCCAGACAAGGCTGTGTAAACAGGAGAATCTCAAATACTGTCAGTTCTTCACTTTCAAAACTCGCTATTCAGACCCAGATGTGACGCTTAGATGGCAATAAAAGGACTCAAGCTCGCCCTGTTACTACAGTTACAACTCGAACCTTCCCTTCTCCACAATAAAGACAAGCTCACCTCAAGCAAGGCACAGATGGGAATGTCTGCAAAGGTGATTAAGTGCTTCTTATGTATAGCATTGCTTGTCAAAGACTAGAATTTATACATAAACATGTGGTGTATATGTCAAGAGGGACTACCTACATGAAAATCAAAGACTTTTTGATCACACATGACTCAAAATGCTTTCATGATCATCAACCTGTTGCTCCTAATCTGACCTACTTACATCAAGCCCCTTCCAAGCTTTGCAGTTGGAAAGAACTGGCACGTATATCCCTTCTTTTGTCTACAAAAGAATGATGCCCCCCAGCTCCCTCCACCAGATACGTAAGCTCTGTGTATAAACGTAAGTTATCAAGTTACTTTTAATATATATTTACCTCTTTTGCTAACTGCCTCAGAGGAATGCTGACCATTTTCTGTTTCCTTTCTGTGATCAAGTTGACAAACCTGCAAGCAGGTGACAGAAACGATAAATGACTACCAAGAGCTGCAGAGAAACCTGGCACCCCTGAGAAAAATCCCCCATATGCTGTGGTCCTGGAGATGCAAAGTGAAATTAGACCGCTGAATAATGCTATCTGCTCAGGTCTCTCCCAGGACACTCGTCTCCCTACCTTACCAGAGCCAGCCCATAAGAGAGGATGAGCTCATGCGACTTCAACCTGCCAGATGAGTCCAGGACCTTACAACGGATCAGTTCAGCGGTGCAATCCACTGCAAGAGGCATTTTGGGACCATACCTAGATATAAAGGAAATATAGGTGAGCAGTCTCACAAGAATACATCCCCCCTGCAAAAAAGGGTAACTTTCGGGCTACGCTTTGTGCTCTATGCTAGCTAATACCCTGAGAAACAAAAGCCAGCAGAGGCTCTTTCCAGATGGCTTTTATTTAGAACAGCGATTACATCACTACACCTAGGCACACGTTAAATGAGTACTCACGGATACGCTAAACACTCTCACAATACAAGATGCCGTATCTACACTGCTCTTGTCTATGGATGCAGCAGGGGCAACACAGACTGAGGTGATTTGGGGGCCCTGTGCTGTTAACGGCAGCACTGCCTCGGGACACCCGCCTGGGAAGCTGCGGGCACCCACGGCTCCTGCTTCCCCAGGAACCACACGCTCGAAGCACCGGCAACCGGCCGGGTGCGGAGCACCCTATGAACCCGAGACAGCGGCGGGAGCAGGCCGGCGGAGGCCCCGCTGCGCTCCGTGCTCGCCGTGCGCGGCCCGTACCGACTCTTCCAGGCCGAGACCCGGTCCAGCGCCTCCTGCTGCAGCCGGCTGTCCCCGCAGTACAGCCCCACCATCACCTGGTCCCACTCCGCCCTGCCCCTCCACGCTACCACAGTCCGCAGCGGCCTGAGCCGCTTGCGGGCCGGGGACTGCGACTGGGACTGGGAGTGGGACCGAGACCAGCTCCGCCGCCCGCGGCACCACGGCTCCCCCGCGCCGCCCGCCATGAACCCGCCTTCCCCCTGCGCCTGCGCCTGCCCCTACGCACCGCTTCCGGGGCGGGGAGAGCCCGGAGGAGGCCGGGGTCTCAGGGAGCTGGGGCTGTGATGGAGGGGACCTTAAATCTCATCCAGTTCCACCCCCCTGCCGTGGGCAGGGACAGCTTCCACTAGAGCAGGCTGCACGGGCCTTGGAGCAGGCTGGTCCCTGCAGTGATACACTGTTTTGGGCCACGGCCAAAAGAGGGTGCGAAACAGGCAGAGCTCTGCCCTGGTGTAGCTGAAGACAGCAGAGGGACAGTGAGATGTGTTGTGAGGCAGGTGAAGGCAGCAGTGTGAAGAAGAGCGTCCAGAGGACTTCAGGGCAGGGGGGTGAACTTGGTGGGATGCATAACATGGCCCCAGTGGCAAGATGCGAAGGGATAACATGGAGCTTCACACTGGATCTGTACGAGCTATATGAACTCGATGCCTTTGGAGCAACCTGGCCCCTTCCAGTGTATACTGGTTTGGGCCACTCTTTTACACTCTTTTTAGGCCCATGACGGGCACCACCATGGGCCTGAAGGGAAAGGGAAGAGGCAGCTCCCCTGACTAAAACAGCACACATCGTACGGATGCTTTCAGTGTCCCTGACCTTCCAGCCAGGGAATGAGACTTAACTGCTTTTCTTCCCAATTACAATTGGTTTTTGCAGTAGGCTGTGTCAATAAATGATCCAGGCTATAGGTCACCTTATCTTTGGAGGATTTTTTCATTTTTTAAACTCCTGTTTTCACTGGTTTGTTGAATCCCAGGAATACACTGGTGTTAGAAGTCAGAGGGGAGGCACAGCTGAAACATGGGATGGGAAAACAACACTGGAGGTGGGAATCTACAGAACCTACTTACACTGGTGTTCCTAGCAAAAAAGCTAAGTGTGTACGCTCTGGTGCTGCCTCCTGCACCTAGGGAGTAGCTTGGTCTTTCCCCAAGGTTGTCAGGACTTCAGGACAGCTTAAGCTTCCTTATTCAATACTCTGAAGCGAGGCTTTGTTTGCAAACCTGTTAATCATTGTCGTGGGTTAAGCCCAGACGTAACCCAGAACCACGCAGCCGCTCGCTCACTCCCCCCCTTCCTCCCCTTGCTCCAGAGGGATGGGGAGGAGAATCAAAAGAATGTAACTCCCACGGGTTGAGATAAGAGCAGTCCAGTAACTAAGGTATAACACAAACCACTGCTGCTGCCAACAATAAGAATAATGATAAAGGAAACAATGAGGGAAGAGAATACAACCGCTCACACCCACCAACTGATACCCAGCCCGACCCGAGCAGCGATCTAACCCTTCCGGGTAACTGCCCCCAGTTTATATACTGGGCATGACGTGCTGTGGTATGGAATACCTCTTTGGTCAGTTTAGGTCAGGTGTCCTGTCTCTGCTTCCTCCCCTCTTCCCCTCTTCCCTGGCAGAGCATGAGGCTCAGCAAGTCCTTGGTCAGAGTACACATCACTGAGCAGTAACTAAAACCATCGGTGTTATCAGCGCTGAGGACAGTCATCCTCACCGGCTTTCTATGACTGTTCTCTGAAGAAATGTTTATTCTGGAAAGATAAAGCTCGTCTTATATTCCAGCACAAATGCAGTTAACACACACACACATCATTTAGACTAACATGAATATGCATGAGTGCATAGTTGAGACCACGTGCATCTGAACATGAGGGAATGGGAAAAAATGATAGAACTTCTGCCCTGTATGAAATATTTCTTTGATTGAATACCAGAGATTATGGGAAAGAAATGCTGAATGAGTTCTGTTAAATGAGTTCTGTTAAATCACTGTCTTTGACAGATGCATCAGTTTAATACAGCTTCAACCTCCTCCCCCAGAAAAAGTCTACCTTGTTCTTGGGTGTTAAGCGTGTGCCAAACTGAAACAAGAGTTTCATTCCTCAAAAGAAGTGTGAGGTTGAGGGAACAGATTTAACATTCGTTGCCAAACTCCCGCAGCGCCTCATGCAGTTAAAGTGAATTCTCAGAAGATATGAGGCAGGGAGAAAACTTGGAACAGGGCCCTGGGCTCTGGAAATGGAGTTGCACTTTTCATCTGCTTAAAAAATGTTCTGAAAGGACAAGCTGTTTACTGCAATCAAAGGGCCTTATTCAGAGCATAGGAACACCATGTGTCATTTTGCTTGCCAGATTATTTCTGGGTTTCAGAAATCAACTGCAGTGCAAAGGTCGTAAAAGGCAAATGCTGCCAGTGCTGTGGAACAGATAGGATGCATCCAACTTGATCAGATCACCTGCTTCCAGACCCTCAGAGCCAGATCAGAAATGAAATGAAAAGGATGATTTTTCATTTCTATTCTCTGTGGAGAGCGAGAAGGTTGTGACGAGTTTGGGGCCTGTTATAGAGATGGAAGGGAGCAAGGACTGAACCAGCGTAGATTTCACATGCTTCATGTGCTTTCAGAGCCCAGACCTAAGGGGAATGATGCTTGTGCTGATGCTCTTATGATATCTGGCTGTAAGGTTGCTCAGTAGAGAATTGGGAGGTAATGGGCAAAGATGGCTTGTTGCCTGGAATGTCCCACACAAGACTGGCAGTAATTTGCTATTCTAGTTTCTGCAGCCTTGCTGTGGTGTTGGCTGAGAGGAGGCCAGGATTGTCTTATGGTGTCCCTGTAGTGCTTTGGGAATCTGGATGGTGAAGGTGAGTGGAGTTACTTGCACCTGCAGGCGAAGTGTCAATGAGGAGTGAAGAGCCAGGCTGCTTTCTAGGTAAAAAGCCTAAATGGAAAACCTGCTTTTTAAAAGAAAAGAGGTTTTGGTGTGTCAGGGTTACATAGGTGGTGGATTAAAATTAACAGCCCAGCAGGTGAACTGTGATACTGCTTCCTCTGAAGAGACACGAATCTGTTTTTCATTTGCTTAACTGAAAAGGAAGCCCCCAGAGCCTTCCTGAATAGTCTTGCTCTTTCTGGGAATAAGGAAATTCCTTTTCCTATTTTCTTTCCAAAGAGTTTGAAGTAAGCAGAGGTGATACTTAGAACCAGCCTTGGAATGTCAGCCAAGAGGAAATTTCACACACAGCATGCCTTTCTGACTGGGATTATTAACCATGTGCCAACCCTTTTACTGGAGTAATCAATCACAAAAAAATGCATTTAAAATCAGTGGGTACAAAAGGTGAAGCTTTGGGTCATGCAGAAATGAAGTAAAAGCCCTTCAAACCAGAAAAAGAAGACAAGAAGATGGGTCTGGTGTTTTGGGGGTTTTATTTGGTTGTTCCTATTCTTTTCTGTATTAATTTTAACTTAAACTTGAATAAAGCATGGCCAAGAGCAATGCTCTGTCTGCCTTTCTGTGGCTTGAAAGTTAAATCTCTAATTGGTCCTAAGACATTTGAGCTGCACCTATTTCCCAGGCAGTGTGGCCCTTTGAGACTTAGTAAAGCAGTGGGTGACAGCATAGTCAGAGCATATCTGGCCTGGCAGTTGTTGCCTCCTTGTTCAAGTGTTATTCCTTGGAGTGGGGAGAGCAAGTGCTGATAGGGCAGAGAACAAGGGAGAGGGGCCTCTGCTTCTTTTCAGTGCTATTGGCTGGTTTTGTTTTCTGACATCTATGAGACTTGAGCTTTGGAGACTAGCCATCGAACATCCTGTTTTCACTGAATTTGTCTCTGTTCTTCCCAGTCTCTTCTCCTTTCTTCTGGTTGCAGAGCTGCTGCAATAGCACCAAGGTAAGAATATGAAATGGCACTTCTTGGCTCATTTTTCACATGGGGGTTGTTACGTTTGAGCAGGAGGTATCTGGCAATCTCAGCAGATAAAGGAAAGCTCAGCTGGGATCTCAAAAACCACTGTGCTCTTTACAGTCAGGCAACAGAGACCAATATTGTAACTCCAGATTTGCTGAGTGCTGAATTAATCTAACCTGCTTTGAATCACACTGGGTGGATTCCTGTGCAGAAACTGCTAAGCAATGCCTGCACACTTTTAGTCCCTATGCTCAATCTTGCTCTTATTGAAGCCAATGGAAGTTTTAGGGTGAAGCTGCATGAAGCCTCACATATATTGGGATTGGCAAGGATAGCAGATGGGCAGTAATTCTCTTGTGCTGTGAGTGTGTGACCAAGGTGCACCTTCCAGCCTTTCTGATAAAGCTGAATGAGGTGCTGGATGAAGCGTTTTTACTTCTAGAGTTCCCCCCGGTAAAGATACACAGGCTTGCTCAGTTAAGAGAAGGGCAAGAACTAGAAATGCAGGGCATAAGAGAAAGATGGATGGAAATGTGTAGGAATGGAGGACGGGAAATGGAGAGGTACAGACAATCAGAAGTGGATACTTGTGGGTGAAAGGCAGCCCTAGACACTTCCATAAGAACATGCTGCCCCTATTCTGTACTTCTCCTCTGTGCTCCTCGGGTTGCAGAGATCCTTGGTTTCTCTCCCTTCTTACAATAACACTGATGAAGCAGGGCTCGAGTTTCTCCCAGGTATGTTGGATTTTGAAGAGTAAAGCAGGGGATGTGTTACAGGAAATAAGCAACATGAACACGCTTTCCCATGTCAGAGGCCTTGGCAGCAGGTTCTGGTGCTATTCTGAGATGTCAGCCAGCCCTGAATGAGGTAGCAGTATGCTGTTCTGCATTTCTATCTAGTCCAGGAATCCTGCATAGAGATTCCAGGTAAGAGCAGCTTCCTGAAAAGGGAAAAGTTATTTGGCTTTGTGTAGGGATGACTTAAGGAAAACCCTTCACCTCAAATGAGTTTATTGCAAGATTATCTATAGCATATGAACCAAATGTTGTGAAAAGGACTCTGGAGTGTGCGCTCTGTCCCTGTGGGGAAAAGCTGGGAGGGAGAGCAGTGCAAACCAGATGTCTGTCATTTAGTTTGATACCTCTCCTGGAAAGAGCTCAGATCATATGGACATGGAGCAGAATCTGGGAGCAGGCACTGAACTTGGTGGGAAATGGCAGGGTGCCTTCCTCCCTGTAGGAGATGCAGGTTTCAGGTACAAAATATGCTTTAAAAGCACTGGAATGAGGTACCCCAGAAAACCTGCCAAAGCTTGCTTTACTTCTTTTAATTTGTGTTCTTCTCTTTTTGACTGAAGATAAACAAGAGCCTATGAGGACTTGTACCTCCCTCCTCCCTCACAGATGGAAGGCTCCAAGGAAAAAATCATTCTGAATATTGGGGGAGTCAGATATGAGACATACAGCAGCACCCTCCGGACCTTCCCAGGGACGAAGCTGTGCAGCCTCACAGAGCCCCATGCCTCAAGCATCTACGACTATGATCCCACCACCAAAGAGTTCTTTTTTGATAGGAGTGCTGAGATCTTCAGCTACGTGTTGAACTATTATAGGACTAAACATTTCCACTGTCCTATTGATACCTGTAGGTCAGTCTTGGAAGAAGAGCTGGCTTTCTGGGAAATCAATGAGGCACAGCTAGCATCCTGCTGCTGGCTGAAGCTGAATAACAGAGAGGTGCAGCCAGAGGAGTTCAACATTTTGGATGAAAATGAGCAGACTGATGACCAGTGCCTCATAGTCCAGACAGAAAGAAGGGATCTGGGCTGGCGAACCAGATGGCAGCCAAAGATTTGGTCTATGTTTGAGAAACCCTTTTCCTCTTTCAGTGCTAAGGTAATACTATATGTGGTGATGGATGGACACAGCGTGTGTCCTTTGGGATTGCTGGCATGGGTCCATGAAAAATACTAATGGGTTCACAGCTTTGATAAATATGCTTTGAGTCCCAGATTGAAAAAGGAAAATCAAATTCTCCCTTCTCATTAACAGACACCTCCTTCTTCTTCTCTCCTCCTCCTGTCTCTGCTCTCTATACAAAACACGTGACCCATGCCTCTTTAAAACGTCAGGCATGTAGAGCAACAAACGCAAGTGAGAGGCTGCAGAGGGTGTTTTCTGTGCTGCTGGTGTTTCTGGAGCCAACATCTTGTGCTGCAGAGGCCCCCAGTGTGAGTCTGTCAGCATTACTCCAGCTGGTGGATATTTCCCTTCCTTACAAACTCTGATATACGAGTTCAGATGGTTTTTTCTTTGACTTCAGTCTTCTCTATTACTTTTCCAATCTGGAAGGAGAAAATGCACTCCCTGTGAGCAAAACCACAGTGATTTGAGAAAGATGAGTCTGGGATTGTACAGTGCCTGTGGAAGTGATCCTGGGGTTGTGGTGGGGCAGTGAGGTTATGGGATACTTTGTTGACCTAACTGAATGTGTGCCCTTTCCTCCCTCTGCAGTGCTTGGCTTTTGTTTCTCTGCTGTTCATCGTTGGAATTGTCATCGTATTCTGTGAGGAAACCAAGGCACAGTTTGAGTTCTTTACTGCTAACTTCACCTCAGTTGGCTATTCTGAGGTCTCCCACAATGACCATGAACCCTATTACCACCAGGCTGCCTACTTGCTTCATCTGGAGCTTTTCTGTGTCCTCTGGTTTACTTTTGAGTTCTCTGTGCGATTTTGTTTCTGCCCAGACAAGAAGTTGTTCTTCCAAAATCCCCTCAATGTGGTTGACTTCCTCTCCCTCTTCCCAGTTTATATTGAACTCTTTGTGGCTGGGCAGATTCAGAGAGTGCCAAGCCTAGGGCTTTGGTTGGGCTTTGTTCGAGTTATCTATCTCCTCAAACTCCTGAAGATATCCAAGCTGATAGAAACACCACTGATTCTCAGGGTTCTGTGCTACACCCTCAAGTCTATCCTCAGAGAGATTTGCATCCTGCTGATGATTTTGGCGTTTGAGACCCTCTTCTTTGGCTCTCTCTTTTTCTATGGGGAGTTGCTGGGTAGCCATCCCTCCTACACAGGGGAGCTGCACTTCACTGACATTCTTGTTTGCTTCTGGTGGGCTTTGATCACACTCACTACAGTTGGCTATGGAGATATTATCCCTCTCACCACAGCTGGACAAGTGACGGCAGCCTTGGCGGCGGTATTTGGCATGTTAACTATTATCATCCCAATACCCATTTTCCTGGTGAAGTTTAAAACCTATTATGACATTGCTATCTTCAAACAGAAGCTGAAAAGGAGCAAGAAACATTAACACTTCAGAAGCTCTGTTCCCCTTTTGCCTTAGCAGTAAACCTTCAGCATGGTTTATTCCCTTTGGTGGGCAACAGAGTGCCAATAGTTCATACTGCATTTACTTGCTGCCTTAGTGTATCTCAAACTGTTGGTGAGGCCTAACATCGGAGTGCTTGGTACACAGCTGATGGGACCTGTCAAATCCCATGGGTCTTTCCCACATTGTACCTCATGCCATGCTCTCTTACATGTCACAGTTTCTCTCTCATCTAGCTGTTCAGGGACATGCCTGTGATCATAGAATCATAATGGTTAGGGTTGGAAAGGACCTTAAGATCATATAGTTCCAACCCCCCTGATGCTACATTATAGCATCATTCTATGATTCCATAGCCTGAATGTGCACCACATAGCCCAGTTCCATGACCTGGGGCCACAGCATATTCTCTCAGCTGCCATACAACCCGTGGTACTAGCTGTGCTCTCCATCGACAGACCACAGTCTCATTCTGCGTGCTAGGAAAGAAGATCTGAGCACAGCCCTGCTCTGACAGGGAGGATGAAGCACTTTCAAGTTGTATTTTTTAGCAGTGTTCTATTTCCTCACTTTACCAAGCCAAGCCAGTACATCTGACCTGCCTGTGTGCTCACACATAGGTGGAAAGAAGGCTGCAGGCTGCTCTGTGGTCCTTAGAGCCAGCACTGTTTGATAACCTGCTTTGTGGGCTCACAGGAATTGCTGTGGCATTCGGGTAGCACCAAGGGAGCCCTCTGACAGCAAATCCTTCCTGGCTCTGCTGAAGTCAATGGCAATCTTCCCTTGGCCTCAGTGAGACTAAAATGTCATTGGACAATTCCCTTTGATCAACACATTCCAACAGTTCTAGGTTTTCATGTACAAAAGTGACTGAGTTATTAGCCAAAATATCTATGTTTTTTTGCTCTTCAAAAGGAAGAATGTAATCTACAGTACTCAGTATAGATCTAATGTCATTTACTTTCTTAAAGCATAGATAAAAATGTGGAATATTTATCTTTTAACTGGATAGTCTTACTTGTTACCTTTGTTTGGTTTTGAAATAACAAAATATTGTTGAGGTATGAGAACAAACCACATCTCACTGTTTCTATAGCAGGATGATGTGCTAGGGTTGTTTTGTTTAGTAAGTAAAAATTGCTGTATCCAATAACATTTCTGTATTGAAATTTCATTAAGGTTGTATTTTAACTGCAATTTTGATGAAGTTTTGTCTGCCACTGTGATTTTTCTGTTCAGGATAGCATTTTAAGGATGGTTTATTGAAACAGCATAAGGTAACTTCCCTCTGTTCCAATGCAACTGCAATGAATTCAGGTTTTGTCTAAAGAACAAGAAAAAATGGTGCAAACATTTCAGGCACAAGGCACATGAGAAGCTGGAGACAGCCTGGCAGTGGAAGAAAGGTCTAGGTGTTCTCCTGCACCCACCTTGGGTATACAGAGAGTGGAGGGGCCGAACAGGGTCAAACCATGCATGCAGGTGCATGGGAGTTTTTCTTCATTATATTAAAGTGGTGCTATGTTTTCTGTGGATGTAGATAGTTTTATTGAAAATTCATATTAGTTGCAACAGCTTAACAGAGATTTACCGGGTCTGTCCTCAAATTTTCCCCAGTACAGGAAAGGTCCACGATAAAAATCATAGGCCATGACCCTATTTTAAGAATCCAAATTAAAGCCACTGGAATAGTTACATCTTGCTGGCTGCAGTCAGGAGGTGTTCAGAATGTTGCAGTACTTATTGCTGTGTTTAACCAGCTCTGCTGGTGTACACCCATTTTTCAGGAGATGCTTCACAGGAGACAGATCTGTAATTGAGAGCAGCCTTCACTGCTGCCCCCAGAAGAGGGTGCTCTCTAAATGCAGATCAGTCCCATTTCTGCGCGGGAAGCATGATGTGAACATCATAACAGGCTATTGCACTGCTCTCTGTAGCGTGACCCCATTTAGACCTAAATGTACGCTCTATGAGCCCTACTGTGCTGGAGCAGCTGGATGAAGAGGTCATGCTCCCAGGTGAAGGTAAGCACAAGGAAGAAACAAACCCTAATGCACAAGCTCATCTGCCACCAGCTCAGCACAGCAAACTTAAACCTTTGGTGAGGAATCCTGAAGCTAGAAATCACAGACTCATAGAATATCTCAAGTCTGAAGGGCCCATAAGGATCACTAAGTCCAACTGCCTGCTCCTCACAGGACTACCTAAAACTAAATCTTATGGCAAAGAGCACTTTTGATTTCTTTCATGAAAATACCACTAAAAGTAACTCATTTCTGCAAAACAGTTTAGGATTTTCCAGCATAAAATTCTCTTGTGCTTGCTGACCAGTGCTGCTAACTTGTGCTGACCTCTGAATCAGCATGGAATAGACACAGCTCCCCTCTTTTCATGTTCCCAGTGCTCCCCAGTGTGGAAGGATGAGGAGTTGCTTGTCACTGGGAAACGCCAACACAGCTTCACACAGTGCGAAAGTGATGGGGAAAAAAGGCCTGTTCTTGGCAATATGGCCTTGCCAAAGCATTTGAAAGTCCCTTCCCCTCTCTAGACCATGCTTCTCACTCTCTTGTGGAGCCTCTTAGCTCCTCTTCCCAAGCAAGAGAAGCACTGAGAGGAGCTATGCTTTGTAAGCAATAAGGGAAAAGCATTGCTGCCTGCTGGTGTAATCGACCATAAGAGCAGTTTATGGGACAATTCCTGGTGACTCCAGCACAGCCCAACAAAGGAAAGTACAGTGGCTTATCCATGGTTATGACATGCCCTGTTGACCCTGCTGTGGAGCTGGTAGCTGTAGCCTTGGATCAGCTTTCAATCTCTTTTGCAGTGCTTGAATGGGAGTAGAGAGGCACATCTCAGGCCACAGGTGATCTAAGGGTAGATGAGAACAATGGCATGGGGATGGATTGTGTTGGACTCCCATATATGGGTTTTACGAAGGTGGTTTCCTTAGCCAGCCATGCTATGCACTTTGTGCTTTAAAGTCACTATCCTTGTAGGTTGCTATGGTCACCCCCCATGCTTGTTTTCTTATCCTATTCCAAAACTCTTTGAATGAAATAGATATTAACTCCCACTTGCTTCTCAGGTCATGACAGCCCAAAGGCAGTTCAAAATTCACTATTCCTGTCCCTTTCTTCCGAGTCTGTTTTCTTAATACTGCCTACACTTCATGGACTGAATTTCCAGTGATTTTAGCCACATTAGCTCCACAGCATCCCCAAATACTCCAAAGCATGTGCTTGCAGTTGTGCTCGTTGCGGTTCTGACAACTCTGTTCTCCCTGTGCTTTGAGCGTAGTAGCTATTGGACCCAACCTGCTCAAGGCTGGGATGAAGAAGCCATAAGGCCCTTGCAAGAAATCTCTTGGTCAGGTGTTTCATTATGGGAAGGGCCAAACCCCATCCACTGTTTCTCTCTTCCCCTACAAACGTTCATGGATGTTGTCCATGGAAGAAGTAGGATGCCAGACTTACTATACCCATGAAATGAATGAGAGGGGTCACTGACACAGATGAGGTCACTTTCAGAGAAACAAGCCATGTTCTCAGCTACCTGAGTTCTGGCAGCACCATGCCTGACGAGAGCTCCCTGTGCCAATGAGGGCAGTGACTTTCCTAGGCCCTCAGGGTATGGAAAATTTAGGGTCTGGTGCAGCACACTCCCACAGCTGGCATCTGCACAGGGCATCTCCACAGCCTGTCTGTGGGCAGGGTGACTCAGCAGCAAAGGGAAATTCAGTTACAGATGGTGAAGTCAGCGTCTGGTGAAGCCCCAGGCTCTGACTCAGAAAGCAAATGCCTTTGACATATGAGGGAAATGAATGAAAGTTCCAAAATCTGGGTGCTCCTTGGGGCTCAAGAACAAGCACCCAAAAGAGATACACTGGCTCTCAGATAGTCGTGCTATTAAACTTTTGCTCACTGAAGTACTAGTGCCCCTTCCAGATATTTCTGCCTTTCTGTGTTTCTGTGCAATTGTAGCACTGCTTTCCTGGACAGGCTTAGGTTTGACATTGTTTTACTTGTCTGAAAAGGGTTTTATTCAGGTCCCACAGAGCGATGGAAAATTCTTAGCAACTGAATGATGAGAGTGTGTGTGTGTGTGTGTGTGTGTGTGTATGGGTGGGCCTGTCCACTTGCTGTGGGCGGGCAGCTTGTAACCACTCTGATGCTACTGCATCTTGAACTGACCGATTTTCAGCTGGAAAAAACAGCTGCTTGTGCAAAGGCTAAATCCTTCCTGCCTAATGCTGAGCATCCTTCTGTCAGCCCATCCCTGCCTGCAGAGGAGCAGGGGAGGAAAACCTGTGAGGAGTGACTCTTTCCTATAATTCCCCACCTTACTTGGAACCACCCTTCCTTCTGGCTGCCAAACTGCAGAAGTCATTCCGCAGCGAGGCCACCTTTGTCACTGTTTAAGAAGGAGGCATGGATGATGTAGTGAGGCTGACTTCAATCTACTGTTTGCATGGGTTTCTTTGAAACAAATCTCCATCCCACCATTGATTTGGGAGCAAAACATGAAGTGAGTATCCCTCCCTCACCCCAGCTTTGCATGGAGTTACCCTCTGTGTTAGCAGCATTAAGAATCATATCCATATCTATTCAGATGGATGTTGGCAGCCAGTATGGTTCTATAGTGTAGATCATGTTGTAGTTTTAGGCTATTGCTTTTATTGCTGTTAAAAGCCTTGTGACAGAGTGCACAAGTCTCTCACATCGCTGCCTTGGAGGTGTATTTAATAATAATAATTAGGGTGCATGGGACTCTTGATCTTTAAACTGCTCCCTCAAGCTCAGCTAATTAGTCTACACCATTTACCAGCGGGTAAACCCTTCCAATTTGTCTTTGGGATTATTAAAGAGAAGAAAGCCTCAACCCCTCATTCAGCAAAGCATTTAAGATTGTGCTTCATTTTAAGCATGTCTGGGAGTGAAGTATGTGTTTAAGTGGGCTTATGATCACAGCTACCTGCTAGGGGCAAAATCTTCCTGTTTGTTCTGGACCAGGATATACCCATGCTGGAAGATGAGTGTGTGAGCATCACTGGGATGGTCTTTCCCTAACAGCCCTGATCAGCTGCCTCAGATAATAACACTGAGGACATAGCACTGATAGCTTTAATGCAGTTGTGTCAGCTTGTCACTGGCCACAGATAAGTATCTGAGTAACTTAGAATGTGAGGTCACATCTTCATGGTTCCTGTTCCTTCTAACTACTGCAAATGGCACTTTGCACACACAAACACAGCGTCTAAGTGCCTCTGTATTTTTTCCTGCTGTTGAGCTTTATGAGATGGGGATCTGCAATTTCTAAATGCACTGAACAGAGCCATGGTGCTCTGAGAAAGACTTCCTGCATCCTACTGGTTTTGCGGAGTGACTGACCCAGACGTTTTGCTCTTGCATTTGGGAGATTTCTTGCCATGATTTAAAGCTGACAGTGTTGCTGACGGTGCATTAATTGAGAGAAATAGACAACAGAAATAAAATCGTTTCATTTCTTACTCTCTTCCTTCCTACCCTGGTTATGTCTGGACTTGGCAGGATGAGACAAGAAAGGAGCAGGCAGATGCAGCAGAAAAGGGAAGGCCACAGTTACATCAGCCAAGCCTCCATTATTTCCATCAGCTGAGACAAGTGTGGCCTCATTCTCTGCCTTTGTTTCAGCTGTGCCTGAGGCTTGGTTGACAGTTGAAGTCTCAGCAAGGATAAACAAACACACCACTTTATTATCCAGCAGTTTTTCAGCTCCAAGTATGTATAATTTGGCTGAGGATGATTTACGCCAAGGTAGAGTGAGTGCTTTCACTGGCCAGGGGATGGGAGATGGACACTTGTCTTCTGGACACTTCCTTGTGTCTTCCTCTTTCTTCTCTCCAGTATTAGCAAGCTGGAAAGCACAGAATGTCTAACACTCGTGCTGTGCATCCCTGGTGCAAGTAGTGCATAAAACCCAGCCCAACCCCAGAAACTTCACTCCCCTCTGACTAAAACCTGATGTTGGCCTCAAACTGTGGCACGGGCTGTGGGTGAAGTTCACTTCCATCCATCCTCTGCCACAAGCTCTGAAAGTGTGGACCTCCTTCGGGTCCATCAGCCTATGCTGTATGTTTTCATCTGTTCTGGTGTGGCAGGGAAGTTCAGAAGTAAAACTGCTGGGGAGATCTGTGACTCAGCTGTGCTAGGGAAGGGAGAGTTTCTTTTTCATGTCAACAGCT